AATGAATATGTAGGTGAGTGAGCTGAATGTCTAAACTCCCATTGTAGACACTACTATTAGAGTCAAGCAAATGTTTCGGTTTGCTCTAAGGTAGACAACCACATTAGAACAACTGAATAATTCTCCGGACTCCATTAGTTTAAGCTGCATCAGTGATAACAGGATCTCAGGCACCTAGCTCACAGGTATGAGAGCATGTCTGCATATAGTTTGTCAAGAAGGGTTGCTGCTGATGGAAGACTTGAGCAAATGCGGAGTACACATATACAGTAGGAGGACTATACTTGTACAGGTATTAGGGAGGGAGTTGCAATGGGTTTGGTAGAGAAGGGGAGACCCTGGGAGAATATTATAGCTGGCAAAAAAGTGCTAAAATGCTTTCTGTGAAATGCTGTGAAAACCTGTGGCTGTTTTCATTCTGCTTGATTGAAATAAAACCATTGTATTAAAGAAAAAGATTTCTTGACATTTTGGAGGGGAAAAACACTGCAGGTTTTATGAGCTGCCACAATTAATTTTTTTAATTTTGACTTTTTTTCTTTTACTACCAAAGGCAGCAAAAAAAAAATTACATACAAGGCTTAATCCCCCAGACACACATACACACACATGCACACACAGAGACATTTTTTTCTTGACTTCCAGCTTTTACTTGTCTGTGTTTTTTCCAAGTTTTTCCAATTCAGAAAGTCACAGATTCAGTTTTCTTTGACAGCTACAGAGTTTTTTCAAAGTAAGAAGATGTTGCTCTTAAAATGACAAAAAAGAAAAAGCAAAAGCAAGGATACATACAGATAGAAAACCAATAGTCATGTTGTATTCTGTTATATTGACCAGCAACATAAATGCAAAGAAGAGCAAGGGAAAAATATAAGTGAAAACATACCAAGTAATATGTTACATGTTGTGGAAATTTCCAATTTCAATGTAATTTTGAAAAATAATTTTAAAAAATATTTCTCATAAGTCCTTTTGAGTCTTCAGAAATTTATGGATGATTCTTTTTCTATTTGAAAAAACCTTGCAAATAAAGACTTTTGGCCAGCTGTCAGCTTTATGCCAGTATTACATATGACTCTGGGAAAACCATGAGTTTTTCTTTTTTTTGTAGCCAATTTTAATCCAGGTCAAAACTGCACGCACCAGCAAAATGACACAATACACAGAGACATTGAAATACCTGACATTCACAGTGAATTCCACTTCTCAGACAATGTAATTGCATTAAAGACATGAAAGAAGTGCTTTTTTTATACTCAGGTGAGGATCTAGCTGTTAGGGTTAAACCATAGGCCTCAGTCTTGTTCTTCAGTGTGAAGTTACTCCAAATGTGAAGCTGACCCCTGCCAATTTCCTCCCCACGCCCAGGATTACAGTGCCATCACAGAGACACAGTCATCTGAGAGAAGAGGAGGAAGGAATTTCCTCACTTTCTTATCCAGACCTCTGAGTAGGTGATGCTTAGAGGGAGTGTAGCACAACAGGTGCTGTATGTGGGGACGCAGTACGCTATGGGATCAGGTGAAGCTGCTGAGATGTGATTCAGTTCAGATTGCCTTGTTTGTCATAGCCACTGTAATTTGGAAACTGAAAACCAACACATGAAAAAGAAACCCAAATCAAGATCTGTTGCACAGGGATGAAATTGTTCCTCAATAAAGCAAAAGGTTCCACTGCCCTCTTCACCACTGCCCTCCTTGTACGGTTGCAGAACATGTGTAACCCCCTCCTTAATCTGGATCAGGAACATCCCAGGGATCAGCACAGTAGGTTGGCTTTTTTCATATACTAGTATGGGGTTCAGCTCCTTCTAACAATAACCACCTCTCTTCCAGACTAGCATAGGACATGACTGTTTCTTTTCTAGACAAAGTAAATTTATTAATACTTCCCTCCATCTAGCACACTTATCCTGCAAAAGTAGTGCTGGATGACTCCCCTATGTGGAGACAGCACCTATATCTCCTGCTTCCAGTGGGATGCATGTCTTAAGTACAGTACAACAGTTCCATAGTCCTGTTCATATGATCAGCCCCAGAAACAAGAGTTGGATTTCTGTGCCTTTCCTCTGTGATCTCACTCAGTGACTTCAGTCTTAGAGGTTTCTATTTTCAACTCCAGACTTAACTTTTTTTGCCCTTTTATTGGTCCTTGTGTCAATGGTGAACTGCTGTTATCCCTTTGGAATCACACCCCTATTTACTTCCTTTTCCTTAATCACATATAATTCCTTATCACTACCTTCAGATTCATCCTTACCCCCTTCCCTTGCTTTGGCTTTGGTCCACTTTACTACTTGGTCATTCATATCATCCCTTGATTCTCTCCTGTGACTTCTGTTCCTGAACAGGTGCTTCCTTGTATGCTGGGATTTCCTTCCTCTATCAATGACCCAGCATCTCAGTAGGACCCCTCAGTCTTCCACACTGCAGACTCAGAGCATTTACAGCATGCAGGAACCTGTGCCTTCACCTCTCTATGCCTATATGTTTCCTACTACAATACACTGGCTCTTACTCTTCACTTTGTCTGCTTGAGTCAGCATCTGATGGGTTACAGTACCAATGTAGCCCCTTTCATCTCCTTTAGCACACCCTCTTGCCCCCCACCCCCACCCCCTTCTCAGGCTCTCTTAAATTATTTATAGGAGATTGATTCACAGACCTGTTATGTCTAATTATATCCATTCACTTCTAATATGAATGGCAATTCTTCTAGGAGTTAAGATTGCCAAAAAAGTTTTGACCTAAGAAAGAGGAGGTGGTGGCTATGTATGCAGATCAGACCCTATAAAAGTACCCTGGGATCAGTGTGTCTTGTCCTTCCTCAGAAATCTTTAAGGTAAGAGTGTCAGAGGCTTTGGACTGGGGAGGTAGGGGATGAAGGGAAACTGGCCCTGCATTCCACAAGCACCAGTGCATTCCTACAGACATTCACATTCATTCAATGGGGGACTGCTAGTGTCAGCTGGGATTTTCAGTCTGCTTTCAAGGCATCCATGTGTTTTCTGTCTACAAATTTTCTCTGGAATTCTGTGCAGCAATAAGAAGGCAGTTGCTAATTATTTTTTACAGTACTGAACAGCTTCCAGTCTGCAAGCCATCCATCTTGTCTCACAAAAGGTAAGATCTTGATTTATTCACTCTTTAATGACAGATGGAGATGCTCTAAGGTAGGACTTCTGTGCAAGTGTGCTGGCCATCCGTGTATTCTTTATATTTATGTCCATTGTATAAATACAGTATGAGAATTGAGCTGGATTGCTGATATCTTTGCCACAAGATTCTCAAAGACAGTGGTCTTAAAAGTACTGATCACTGCTGCATTGCTTACATTCTCCCCAGGATCATTCTACAGAGACCAGTTTCCTACATTAACGGACATTAGGTCCTAAGCTTAGGAGAAACTGTCCTAAGAAGGAAAAACCCATCAACAAGTAGTTTCCAATTACTTGTCCATAAACCAAATATACTCTTGAAGCAAACTTTTTTTTTTTCTTTTTGCATTTACCTCAAGCATCAGGGGTCACTAGTCCTAGCTGTGAAGCAACAGAAAAAGATATACATATTTAAATAAATATTAAATAATGGTAATATTTTCCTTTTTTTATAGAGAAGCTTGGGGAATGGAGGCTTAGAATGTTGTGTATCAAAACATCAAAGTGCTAAAAGAAAGTGTTTCAGTCTGAGCTTCTTTATAAGCTTGCTTGTGCCTACAAAAATACTGCAGAATTGTGATATAATTACATAGGCAAATATTAATAATCACAGGGAAATGAAGAAAGGATGATACCTACTTGGATAAATAGAAAAAGAGACATGGAACAGCAACTAAATTCAAAGTTTTAAATATTTACACCCAGGAAAATTAACCGTTCATGCTTACTTTTTACATTAATTTATATGAATTTTGTCAAATATTGTCACTGGAATATATCCCTCAAAATTATAAAATGTCAGCAAGCTATCATGCATAAAGAATAAGTGGAAGAGAGTTAGCACATCATTGATTTCAGGAAAAATCATATAAAAAAGTAAAAATAAAATAGCCATCAAATACTTTAAAACAGCAATCTACTGACATATTATATATATTATATGTTAACGTAATGTATACTAACCTACTATATATACAATATATTGTAATAATACCATAAGATACATTGTAATAATAGCATACAATATCTATACAAAAATACAATATACAATATATATGCAATATACATAATATACACTAGTATACTATAATATATACTAGCATATTATATACTAACAGTGTATACTAATATATATAATACGCTGGTATTATTCCTGTTAGGAATCTTGTAAGAAAATGTGAGATATTATAGGCAATGATAAAACTTCTGGTGAAAGACTGGGTGTATTTTACAACCTTATGTAATTATTTTGTAAAATGGTCTCATTTGATTAATAACACTTTAATGAAGTGGAAAATCATGTACTTAGGAACAAAAACATCAGTCAGGCAATTGTACCAATGCATTTGAATTGATAATACTAAGTTGTGTCATGAAGTCTGTATTTGCTGGCTAAGAAGACAAAGCAATTTTTTTCACATGTTAGCAGTGGAATACTGAGTGGAATGAGTTTTATAATGTATAAAAATACCGTGATTACTATTAAAATACTACTTCAGTTAGGCTGGCCATACTGCAATAATGAGGTTCCTAAATGGTAAAGGACTCAGAAAAGAGTTTAAAAAAAGAATTCTAAGTTCAGAATATCTTTCCTGCAATCAAGGTGAAACTGTTTCTCAAGGAAAACTTAACCAATTATTTGATTTTCACCTAGAGAGGTGCAGTAGGCCTAGAGAACTCACTACCTAAAACAGAAATAAAGGAAAGAATATTATAGAACAGAGCTCTGAATTAGCACCATCTAATTGGCTATGCTGTGGGACTGTTTCTTCCATCATGTGCTGTTGTAATGTATTTTTACTCTCACAGATACTTGCTGCATTAGCCCTAGTAAACTGCAGCCATGTCATCAGACTCTGAGATGGCCATCTTTGGGGCAGCAGCTCCCTACCTCAGAAAGTCAGAAAAGGAGAGAATTGAGGCCCAGAACAAACCTTTTGATGCCAAGACTTCAGTCTTTGTGGCACATGCAAAGGAATCCTATGTGAAAAGCACAATCCAGAGCAAAGAAGCAGGAAAAGTCACAGTCAAGACCGAAGGTGGAGAAGTGAGTAAAAAAAATTCAAAGCTTGAGAATACACTTTAATCCTGCTGTGGACTTCTGGATGGCAAATATGTGTCTTTCTGGTTTTTTGGCAGGTTCTCACCGTGAAGGATGATCAAATCTTCCCCATGAACCCTCCCAAGTATGATAAAATTGAGGACATGGCCATGATGACCCACCTCCATGAACCTGCTGTGCTATATAACCTCAAAGAGCGTTATGCAGCCTGGATGATTTATGTGAGTACCAGCAGAAGGACAGAATTCCTGCATTTGAGCAGTTGAAGACACCTTTCAATCTCTCTGAAGAGCTTCCCGACTTCTTTCCTCATTTTCCTATTTCTTCTTTCTTTCTTGCATATGTTTTCCTCTTGCTGTCTACATCCTCTCCTTCTTCCTTCCTGCTTTCACCTTTCCTTGTGTCGTGGTTTAGCCCCAGCCAGCAACTAAGCACC